GTCTTAGGCGACCCCTGTGAAAGGGTCATTCAACCCCAAAATGTGTCGCTACCCACAGGTTGAGAACCACTGTTCTAGAAGCATCCATGTGACAGGACAGCACATAGTAACAAGATGGCAGCCTAACCCTGGTTGTCTCTGATCTAGCTTGACCTGAAATGCCCCTGAGCTCTTCTACAGGGGAACAATCTATGATCCTTATCAGATCAGAGTAACCTTGCTTAGGGTGGTACAGACAATAGAGTCTGATTGCTTTTGATGGCAGACAATCTTCAGGTAAGTAACCCTGAAGCAGTTAATCTTCAAGCATGTATAGAGTGACCATGCACTTGCAAACAACACTTTAAAATTGGCAGTATTATTGGGGGTGGTGGTGAGCCAGAGACATCATGGGGAATAACTTTTACTTAGGAGAATGTGAGTGGAACACATCTCCAACCTACGAACATGAAGGTCTCCCTCCATGGGAGCCCGGGCTTCCCAGACTCCTTAACTGAATGTAGAGAATTTGTCCACATACACGCTTTTCTCACAGATGTCAAAGCCCATTGGGGTTCAGAGCAAAATGTTTTCATTAGACGAAGATGTTCATAGGCTAATTCAGAAGAACAACACAATGTCAAGAATGATGTTTTAAAGGCTTAAAATAATAGGCTGAACCAAATGAAATTGTCAATATTTCTGTTTTTAATCTAGAGATTAGACAGTTTCAAATGAGGCCATCTAAATATATATATATATATATATCAGTTCACCAGTTAACAGTTGTTTCCTCAGGGGAGGGGATGAGCCTAGGGAAGAGAATAAACAAGAGCATCAAATTTATTCCATCTATTTCTGAATTATCATCATTATTTCATGGAATACGAGGAAATATATTTATGAAGTACTTCTTTTGATATTCAAAAAACCAAATGCAGCTTTTCAGAAGTTAACTGGATTGGAAAAGACCACGCTGCCACCTCCAGCGGCAGTTGCTGTCAAGCCAATTCTATCCCATGCTGACTCTTTACGGGTCAGTGTCCAACTGACCCATAGTGCGCTATGGGGTTTTCAGTGCCTTGTTTCAGGGAGGCAATTTTCTGGCTTTTCTTCCAAGGGGCCTAGAGGTAAACTTCAATCTCTAACCTATCAGTCAGCAGCTGAGTCTGTTGGCATCAGCCAGGGATTTCAGGTCGGAAACAGACATTTGTAATAGACAGTTTTACAAGGAATGTTTATTTTAATTATAGTTATTGCAAATAGAAACTACCAGTTGGTGTACAGCCAATCCCGTCTCTTGCTTTCACTATTTTGGATGGCCCTGGTAGTATAATGGGTTACCCGTTGGGCTGTGAACCGCAAAGTTAGCTGTTCAAAACCACCAGTTGCTCTGTGGTGGGCACAAAAGGCTTTCTTGTTCCCGTAAAGAGCTACAGTCTTGGGAAGCCCAGAAAGGCAGTTCTAGCCGGCCCTATAGGGGTACTCTGAGTCTGACTTGATGACAGCGAGTGATGAGGTCCTGCTGTAGGGAGAGACACGAGTCAGGGGGAGTTGCCACCCAGGATCAAGGGGTCGTCATCAGTCCACTACTGAAGACCTATGTATTCTCCTTTTTTCTCTGTCTCTTCCTGATGAGAGCCTATAACTGAACACAGCTCGTTCTACAATCAATTTCTTGCAAATTTATGAACTTTTTTTTCATGGACAAGGCAAACTCTTTTAGCTAGCAGTTATAGCAAAGATCGAAGTAAGTGATATTTGAAAGTAGGCATTTATTATAAGTTTAGTTAGATTTTGTGAATATGTACAAACAAGTAAAAAACCAACCAAATCAAGTTAGAGGTCTAGGACATTGTGGTGTAAATAAGTATACTTAGCAAGTATCTTAAGGAGCCTGGCGGCATAATTGTTATGGATTGGGCTGCTAATGGCAGGGCCTGCAGTTCAAAACCACCAGCCATTCCACTTTCTACTAGCATTAAGAGTTTCAGCCTCCAAAATCCACAGGGGCAGTTCTATCCTTTCTTGCAGGTCGCTATGAGCCAGAATAAACTGATTGTAGTGATTTTTGTTGTTTTTGAAGTGCTGAGCTACCACAAGATCAGCAGTTTGAACTCATGAGCCTGTCCTGTGGGAGAAACATGGGGCTTTGTGCTCCTGTAAAGATGCACCGTTTCAGAAATCCTAGGAAGCACTTCTACTTTGCTCCACGGTCACTATGAGTAGGAATTGATTTGCTGGCAGTGGATTCTTTTGGTTGGCAAAAATTTTATCTATAAAGAGACATTTCTATATTTGATGTATTTGTTCTAAGTTAATGTTATCATTTTCCAAAATACACCTTAAGGAAGTCATAAAATTAAGCAATGAGAAATTTTATAGAAAGATATAATGAATATTATTGTGTTGTGACACTGATGGCCATCTTATATGGTACCATTTTTCTCAGGACAAATAAATGAACTTTATGATCCCTGTTGTTGAGACAAACTCTAGATACAAACTCTTGGAAATTTATATATGAAAAATAGTTCAAGGAAATGTATGCAGGCATTTAGATTAACAAGGGGCACTTTAAACAAGAGTGGGGGGTGGGTAGGGACAGTGTCAACAACTCAGGCACAGGGAATGTGTTTTCTGTGTTTCAGACGGGATATGTAGGTGCCATTTTCATTTATCCTTGCAACAGAACACTGCCATTATTAATTATGCAGGGGTTTTTTTTGGTTGGGTAAAAGATTTTGAGAATGACTCAGCAAGAGATTTCAAAACCCAATGCCTCTACCTGCTTATTGAGATGTCCTCTTCAATTCTGCAGTCTGCTCCGTGTCCCCAGAGTTAAAAGTCTAAGATCTAAACAGGAATTCTATTAATCCAGCTGTACCGTTTTGTGAGGAAGTCTCAGTTTTATGAACACCGAATGCATTCACTACTAATTGATTCTCATGCCCTTTTAGCTTGAGTTGATGATAAAAACTCTCAGCTCACTGCCCCCAAGTTGATTTTGACTCAAAGAGCTACTGCAGGACAGGGTAAAACTGCCCCTATGGGTTTCTTTAAAGGAGGAGAAAGCTTGTCTCTTGGTGGGTTCAAACTGCTCACCTTGAGTCAGCAGCCCCCCAGATAACCCACTATGCCAGCAAGTCCCCTTGAGTTGAAGATAGTGAATACTTTCTGAAGATTGGCCTCTCACTTTCCTGTAAAAAACACCATAAAATCTGGGCAAATGATCTAAACAAAGGATAGCTCTACTTGACAAAAGTGTGTGTGTGTGCAGGCGCTCCGGAATATGTATGTATGTTTGTTCCACTGGTTTCTTGTCTGGCTTCATCCTTCTTTGTACACAAAACTCCTCTATGCTGATGATAACTTGGACTGGAGGAGCATTTACACGTCAAAGTTATAAAGGCAATGGAAGATTTTTTTTTCTTCCTTTTACAAGTCCCTGTTTAAATGACAGTTAAAGATTTATTTGGAGAAGGCAAGGCTTCCAATTGCCAGTCCCTTGAAAGTTTGGGGGAGGAGAAGTAAAGTCTCACCTATTTTGGAAACTACTTGCAGATGTGGGGAAACTGCTCAGAATTGCTCACAACAGGGGTTTTGCAGAGATTTCCTTTGCTCACCCCCTCCCCAATTTCCCACAACCGGTGTTTGTTTTAAGTCATCTGGTTGCTCCTGTCTCCAGGTTTTACACAAGCACCTCCGAAGGAGTAAAACAACTGGATCTGAATGATACCGATCACTGCTGGGCACGGGCGCCAGAACTGTCACAGAAAATGTGCTTCCCTTGTCTCCCTTCCAACTTCCCTTCCTGCGCCCACGTGAGTCAGCGCGCCAGCCCTTCAGCAAGGTTTTGCCGTTTCCTGCTGCTGCAATCTGTAACTTGGTTTAGATTTTAATTAATATATTTATTTATTTATTTTTCTTCTGAGGCTATTAGTTCTTCACAAAACTTTGTTGGTCAGGATACTTTTAATGTAATCTATTTCCTTATCTACATCGCGGAGCTCAGGAAAATGTTCTCCTCTCCAGGACTGCACTAAGGTCAAACAGCCCCAAAGGAAAGAAACAGGCGCTCGCTGTTTATTTGGGGGGAGGGGAAATCCAGATTTGCAACTAAGTTGTCACCAGCCCTTGCATCACTCCCGGTTAGTGCTCGAAAATGACACGTACATCATCTATTAATTGCTTTCATGGTAGCAGATACATAATGTATTCATTTTAGCTTGAGTAAAATATAAAGGGAATTGTCAGCGAACTCCTGTTTGTTTGTATAAGACTATCAAAAGAAGTCAGCGAGGTGGCTGCGGCCCGGATCTTGACCCTGATTGTGTGAATAAGTGAGCAGGATGCTAGTGATTGGGTTAGATGCTGCGAAGATCCCCCCCCCCCCGACCGGCCCCCCGCCCCCAGTTGGGAAGAGGGTAAAAGAGCCCCGGGGGGCGGGGAAGGCAAGCAGGCATCCCCAAGTCCTCACACTTTTTTGCCTTCCTTGCAGTCAGTTGCTCGGCTAGCTCTTGCAGTCTTTTAAGGTCTCCTGGCGAAGAAATGGCTGCCCCCCACCCCCTTCTTCGGTCTCCCCTTCCAATTCAGACGTGCTGATGTGCAGGCGGGATTCATCCTCCCGGGGAGGCTGCGGGCGCAGGCGGCGGCTCGGCCTCGCCTGCGGGGTCCGGGAAGCGGCGGGGCGCGGCGCGGCGCGGGAGCTCCGGCTCGGGCGGCAGCGGAGCCGCGGGGCGCTAAGTTGGGCGGCCAGGAGGGCTCCCCGCGGGCTGCGAGCGCGCGCGCCCCCCGCCGCCCGGAGCCCAGCTCCTCACCTGCCCTCCTCCCACCGCGGGCCCCCGGCCAACTTCTCCCGCGTCGGGGGGCCGGGCAGTCCCTGCCCCCTCTCGGTCCCACAGGCACCCGCGGGGCACAGCCTCCCGCGGGGGAAGAGGGCGACAGGGGCGGCGGACTCCGCGCCTCGGGCTCCGGTCCTCCTTTTCCTCCCCAGGAGGGAGGATGGGCTTACCGACGCTCGCCCTGAGGATGCTCCTGTGGCTGGCGGCCTCGGGGCTGCTTTTCCGCGGGGAGCGGCGGGTCTGCGCCGGTCGTGACTCCGATTACACCTGGGACGGGGACGAAGAGGGTAAGGCGGACACGATCGATTACAAGGACCCGTGTAAAGCCGGTAAGTGCCTCTCCAGCTCGCGACGGTGGCGCGCCGGGGACGGCCGCGCTCCGTTCTGATGGCGGGTGGGCGGCAGCTCACCTGTGTCCTTCCCTCCCGTTACCCCTCGCCCGGGGAGTGGGCAGCCTTCCCAGCTGGAGGAGGCTGGAGTTCTTGCTCTCGGGAGGGAATGCCAAACTCTCGTCTCCCCGGTGTTGACAAGCGTCCGGAGAGTTGTGTTCCCACCCTGCGTCTCCCCACGCCCCAAGGTGCATCCAGTCTGCGGCCCTGGGTTTAAATCCTGACTCTGGGAGGTTTACAGGTCGGCAGGGCCCACACTTCCCCTGAGTTGAACTCCGGGCAGAGGCTCCCCAGCCCTGGGCACTGTGTGGGGACGCCGAGGTCCGTCGGTGGGTTCGGCGCGGTGTGGCCGGGGGCGTCGGGCACCAAGGAAAGTTCGGTGCCCCAGTCCGTTTACCTGTTTTCCATAGCCACGCCTTTGTAGGGATGCCATAGGACACCCCGGCTCCCTTTCCTGCGCCTGCAAACCAGCAGGGATGGTCAGCCTGAGAACTCTCACGCAAGAGGGCAATCCGATGCTACTGCCCATGTAAAATAAACTTCACGCAAAACAAAGGTTATTCCAAGTTGCTCCTCCATTCAAACGTGTGTCTTCCTTTCTGGGAACACCCCGGGAATTTTTGGACCCGCACTACCTGGAGCCCAGCCTCGCCCGAGGACCCTCGGCCGCCTGGTCCTTCCCCACGCCCTCCGTGCCAGCCCCGCGGCCGGTCTCTCCTGGGGGC